CACTAAAATATTATAATTAGCAATGAATTTGTGATGATCGTGACATCTGTCAGTATTTTATCAAAATTGTTAAACGCATTTACAAAATATCCTTCACTAATGTCTGTTTTCTAAAATGTAATAATTCATGATGTATTTTCAAATCCAAATTTATATCATTAAGCTTTGTGAATTGTCAAATTTATTATATTTCAATAAAAATGGATTTTGAAAATTTAATTTGTTATTGGATGCATAATATAATGTTGTTTTTGGTGCACATTAATCTGTAAATATTTTATCATTTGATATTTTGACAAATATATTTTGTTAACGATATGGGATTAAATGTAGTTTTCCATTACCAAATTTTATTTCACTAAACTATAATATTGGTAACCCTTTAATATTGTCATTTTTCTGTAAAAGTTATATTATTAATATTTATATTATTATTTATTAAATTTAAAACTTATATATATATATATATATATATCAAATATATGTATTTTTATATTGAAATGTGTGCATTAAGTATCAATAGTTCAAAAAAATTGAATATATTTCCTTCATTAAAAAAATGCAAAAAAAAATATATCTTTTGGTCTTCACACTTTACTCGTGTTTTACTATAGGTCCCTGCATTTTTTTTGGTATTTTGAGTCTTTACATTTTCATTTTCTAGTGTTTTATGTTCATCCAAAGTCCCTACACTTTATTCATTTAGGGACCCAAAATACTAAAAAAATAAAAGTTTAAGGACCTAAAATATTAAAAAAAGTGTAGGAACCTATAGCAAAATACGAGTAAATTGCAGGGACTAAAAGATATATTTTTCCTATTTTTAACATAATCTCATCTCTCTATAAAATAGTTAATTATCTATAAATCTAATATCATATTTCTATATTTACCCTTATTTAAAAATATATATAATGATATATTTATTAAGGATATTTTTTAAAAAAATATTAATTATATTTTGAAACACTAAAACAGCCTTACAGTTTTTATTGATTGGGCTATTTCACTTACAATTAATTAAATTACTAATTATATTATTGAAAAATAAAAATGAATAAAAATAATCATATTAACTTAAAAAGCTTGCCTTTACTTTTTTAAAGTTCAAAAGTTCAATCAGTTTTTTCATTTTTAGTTAAATTAATTAATTATATATATATATATATATATATTTATTTATTAAAATTTGAAGAATAAAGATGCAAAGTGTTTCTAGCATAACTGGCGGAAAAGGAGGCTTCACCATGCAGCAAACTCAAGGTCTCACGTTTGACCACAAAGGAGGATGCATTTCTTCAAATTCAAATTGTAAAGGTAACATGAATTGCAAGGAAATGGTGGCACGTGGATGTTTTAATGGTTATAATTGAAGGGAGGTGCCTGGTGGTGGGTTTAAAAGTGGGGAATGATATATAATAAGATTTTTTAATAATGAAATCAAAAAAATTAATAAATTAAATAATAGTAACAGATCTTTTTATTTTAGTGACGGATAACATCCTGCACAAAATTAGTGATAGATGCATTTTTGTCACATGGATTAGTGACACTATATTTCTGGCAGATTTTGTGACAAAAATTTCTATCACTAAATTAAAAATTAGTGACAGATTTTGCCATTTAGTGACAAATATATCTATCACTAATATCAATTTTCTTAGTAGTGCTATTCTCTAAGGAGCAACCAGTGTCCTGAACTATTTGTCGTAACAACTTCACACCTAACATAATTACAACGTAACATATTATTTTTCTCTCATGTTAAATAACCCAATGTTGAATGTTAAAAATACTGACTCGAACTTAAGTTTGACAAAAAATGCCACCTATTGTGTTTGGTGGATGCAAGTTAGGATGTATTTTTGCCCCCAAACTATATTTCTTTGAGGAGCAACTAATGTCTTAAATTATTTGTTATAGCAATTTTGCTCTTAACGTAATTAAAAAGTATCATATTTCCAAACCCTCAGCATACATGTTGCATTTTTTGTCAGAATTAAGTCCTAGTGAGGATTTTTAATGATCAACATTAGGGTATTTAATTTTGGGAGAATATACTATATTTTAATTACTTTAGAAGTGAAATTATTATGACAAATAGTTTAGAACATTGGATACTCCTTAGAAAATAATTCCAGGGCCTTAAAAATTATGCACTTTCATGCGATTTTTAGCATTATTAATAATATTTTTTTAGACATTTCAAATTGCATTTTTTATACAACTGTTTGGGATATGGTATTATTAAGTCATATTGGAGTTCTATCAAATCTAATTAGGGGTAGCTCCCAACATCATTCTAATTAAAATATCTTAATTTTTAATTTATATATGTGTGTGTGTATATATATTGTGATAACATAAAATTATTGAATAGAACTCTTGCCCATTAAATACCTGACCTCTATCTCAAGCCTAACTCTCCCACCTCTTCATCCCTCGAGGCTTGATGTCCTTTGAATTTCTCAGTGTACAAGGATAAATAAAACGTTAACCCGGTTATATGCCCTAGGAGAATATATTTTGAGATCATTTATGAGATCGAACCAAATAATCCATATCCAAGAAATGAGAAAAATTATTAGAAGAAGTTTCATAAATTCTCGCTCTCTTAGCTTGGAGAACATTTGTGGAGCCAAACCCAAATATAAATATAGATTTAGAATGGTTATCCAATTATCATCATTAAATATAGATTTAGAATGGTTCCAAACTAGGAGTTCATGTATAGATTTTCTTAATCTGCCTTTAGCTGATATTTCCTGAAATCAAAGCCTCAAGTATGAGTTAAAATAAAATCAAACTGAAAAATTTAAGTTCGCAAAATCAAGATTTTGTTCTATTTTGATCTCAGTTAATTTGATTGAAACTTAATTAATTAAACAAAATAATATTTGAAAAAAGTTTTTAAATGTTAAATTAAAAATTTAACCAAATTTAAAATAACGTATAAAAATGTCAGTTGAAATTTTAAAAAATTCAAAAAAAAAAAAATCATACACACACATATTTTTTTGGAAGAAAAAAGGAGTATTCAAGTGATTTAACAGAAAAGGAGTGATGGAAATGAAATTTAGAAAATAGAAGGGAGCTATCATCACTATAATTGACATGTATAGTTGTACCTTATCCTTCCTCTCCAATCTAAGAGCTATCATCACTATGGCAACCTTTGTCTTCATTTATCCTTCTGCCTCTTTTCACAGCTTTGTCTCATGGTTTGTATCACTTTATCATCTCACGCCAATGACTGTAATGAATAGTTTTCTTTGAATATTTGATATTTTCAGCTGGAAAATAAGTAGCAATATATATTGTGTTGGTCGTACTGTTGATTATGTTGATTAAGGGTATTTAAATCATTTTATTTTATCATATCCAACTGGTCGGCAATTTGTTGGCATTATAAATTTTCTTGTGACCTTATCATAATTAAATGACTCTTTCTGGGACAGGTAACCGTTATTGGTCCAACAAACTTCTGTCAAGAATTTAATACATTTCATAAGAGGAGAGAACACAGATGAGCCACCCAATGGTTTCAAGAGAAGACATATAAATGAGTATAATATCACATCTTAATTTAAAATCTTAAGATATTAAGTTTATAGGTCCTTTCTACTTATATATCTCTTCTCCAACCCAACTCTGTATGTGAGACATTTCTCTGGACCAAGTCTACTCACATTTGATAAACCCAACATATTGTAGCATTAGTAATTGATCAGTTTAAACAGTTTTTATGTTATTGTATGAAAGACGCTGTTTTAATTGATGCATTGTTAGTCAACACGGAGAAGTTGTTGCTAATTTCTTTTTAATATAGAAAGAAAAGATGAAATCTCATTTCGCACAGTACGACAACTGCATAATAGATGTATTTATTTTAAGCCGATAACCGAATGGCACGCGTGAAGCCAATAAAGATCAGTAGGTTATAGGTTGCGGTCGTCCTTGCTCACACGAATTGAAAGTGCACGACATTAGATTATTGATAAGAATTTGAATCTCTTTCTGATTTGAGATTTTTCTTCATATGCATGAAGTACAACAATATGAATTAAATTCTTGACAGAAGTTTGTTGGACCAATAACGGTTATCTGTCCCAGAAAGAGTCATTTAATTATGATAAGGTCCCAAGAAAATTTATAATGTCAACAAATTGCCGACCAGTTGGATATGATAAAATAAAATGATTTAAATTCCCTTATACAACATAATCAACTAGTTAGTAAGTCATATCATATCAATTTAACTAGTGACTTGAATTTGAGACATAGGAATAATGCAGTAATGTACTCTCTCCATTTCTATTTGTAAGAGAAAAAACACTGTATCATATATTTTAAGAAAATCATTAACTACATTAATTGTGTTAGAAAATAAAAAAAATTAAACTAAAATACCCTTCATTAATTGTTTCTTATAATTGTGAATGATAAAATTATGAGAGATAATTTAAAAAATTTATAATAAATGCTTATTAAAAAATATAATTTTGCTTATATAAAAAAATAAGCTAAAAGTGACAGTTTCTCTTGTAAATAAAAATAGATGGAGGAAGCAATAGAGCTTTCATTCAAAAAAGTTCTATTCTAGTTTAATTCAAATTAGTTTGAGTTTTCGTTAAGTCTCTCTAAGTTTGGTGGGGGCTAGACCCAAGATATTGAATTCCAAATAAAAAAATATCTTATAAAATTTACAATTAGTATTATGTCATTTGCAACATCAATATAGGAACAATTTGCAATTAGTTTTCCTTTATTTTTAAGTAGAATTTTAATTTTACAAATTATGGAATTACCCTAATTAGAGTCCAGAATACAAATAAGGCTTGTGGCTGCTCATTTAAACAATTTCAATTCATATTATCCTTTTTTTTCCAAGAAAAAAATGAGCATTTAAGTGAATGTGGACCATAAATCAAAGGTCAAGTGATTTAACAGTGAAGGAGGGATGAAAATGAAATTTAGAAAATAGAAAGGATCTATCATCACTATGGTTGCTATATAGAGTCTACCTTCTCTCCTTCCTCTCCGGTCTAAGAGCTATCATCACCATGGCAAACTTTTGTCTTCAGTATTTCTCCTTCTTCCTCTTTTCACTGCTTTGTCTCATGGCTTGTCTCACTTTATCTCACACCAATTTTACCATGAATGATGAAATGACACTTCTTGCTTTCAAGTTTTCCATCAAAGACCCTTACAATCACTTGGCTAATTGGTCCAACTCTTCTTCCATTTGTAATTGGGTTGGAGTTACATGTGATGCTCATAACAGAGTAAGAATCTTGAATCTTGCTGAGATGGGTCTCAATGGCACCTTACCCTCACAACTTGGGAATCTCTCCTTTTTAGTGGAACTTGACCTTCACAGAAACAACTTTTATGGTCAGTTACCAAAAGAGTTGTTTCAGTTACAGAAGTTGGAAATTCTCAACTTGAGTAATAACACATTAAGTGGAGAAATTTCTTGGATTCCAAGCTTGTTTACCCTTCAACAATTGATTCTTCATCATAATGGTTTTGGAGGTGTTATTCCCACAAGTGTATACAATTTATCAAAGTTAGTGACCCTGGATTGGAGTTTCAACTTTATCCAAGGATCTATTCCACTTGAGATTGGAAAACTTCAACACTTGAGGATTTTAAACATTGCAATGAACAAGCTTTCAGGAAGTATACCTCTAGCTATTTCTAACTTATCCTCACTTGAACAAATAGTTTTATCTCACAACTCTTTATCAGGTATGTCTTGCAAAATATGTTTTATTATTAGGAGAATTGCAATGTAGGCCCAAATAGAATCTAAAATAATTCTATAGGCCCAAATACCTCTCTCTCTTGCAATTAAATTTCATCATTCATTTTGAAATAATTGCTTCTTTTTGAAATAAACACACCTTTTATTGAAAAACAACAGACTTTAATTGTTGTATACATACATTCTATTGAAAATTTCATTTGAATAACTTATAAATTCCCTCTCCTTCATGTGTAAACCACGTGGAGTATGTGAAATAAATAAATATTTGTAAATAAATAGACTTTGAATGTTATTTATATAATTTTTGTTATAAATTTTATCTGAGTTGCTTGTAAATTTCCTCTCGTTCAATAAGTGTAAATTACATGGACTATGTGAAAGGATCAGGCATATTGTTGATAATAAATGGACTTTGAATGTTATTTATAGACGTTCTATATTAAATTTCATCTGGGTAACTTGTAAATTTTATTTCCTTCAACAAATGCAAACCACATGGACTATGTGAAATAAACAAATATCTTGTTGTTTATAAATGGTCTTTGGATGTTATTTATAGAGTTTTTGTTGTAAATTTCTTGTTATTCAACAAATGTAAATTACATAGACTATGTGAAAGAATAGAACATTTTGTTGTTAATAAATAGATTTTGAATGTTATTTAAGGATGTTCTATTTTAAATTTGATGTGGATAACTTGTAAAATTTATCTCCTTCGACAAATATAAACCATGTGGATCATGTAAAATAAATGGATATTGTGGACTTTAAATGTTATTTACGAATGTTTTGTTGTGTATTTTACAAAAGGGCCTTTAATGCACATGTAATGATTTTGGGGCCTGCAGTGCAATTCTCCTTCATTATTTTGTCATCAAGGGCATCGCATACAGTTTTCGTTTCCACTAGTCAATTTAAATTCATCTATAATGGTACTCTTCAACACATTATTTTGTATATCCCTATCTTGCTAGAAATTAAATTTAGATGTGAAGCAACATTTTAAATGTGTTGATACAGCTGTCGGAGATGATAAGTGTCAGCAAACATTGCCTAAAAGGTTTTGTGGTAAAATGCACGTACATATATGGAATTCAAATTGTTACGTAATTTTTTTTACCTATTACAGGAGTTATTCCCGAAAAAATTAGCCATCTCACAAAGCTGGAGGTTGTAAAGTTGGCTGCTAATCAACTATCTGGCTACATACCGGAGAATATTGGGAACTTAACTATGCTTCAAGGCATAATTCTTGACCGCAATAACCTACAAGGTACAATTTCTACCACTTTTTTTTTTTCAAATGGTTTTGTCTGCATTACCACAAACAACATTTGATTCTGCTTTTTTTTTTTTTTTCATTTTCTATTGTTTGTTTTCTGCATTATTGTTGGGGAGAGAGAGAGAGAGAGATTGTGGTGAACTTTTTGTCGTTATAATATACCATCCGTCAAGTTAATTGGTTTAGGTGATAGGCATGGGGTGATGTGTCAGTAGCTACAGGCTTAGGGTTTAAAATGTATATATGAAAATAGAAAATGTTTTCACAAAGCATCCTTTATATATATATATATATATATATATTCCCTGGAAATCCAAAAATATTCCAAAATTTATCTAATAAAATTAATTATCAGGTCCCATGCCAACAGATTGGAATCGATGTAAGGAGCTCAAAATCTTGTCGTCATCTTTCACCACATTGAGTGGACACATACCAAGTGAGATCGGAAACTTAACAAAGCTTCAAGAATTATATTTAGTAGCCAACTTTTTCACAGGTATGTGCTAGTATATAACTAAATATTATCAAATTTCAAACTTTAATTCCCTCGAAAATATATTTCAATTACACTTTATTTTATGATTCAATTGCACTTTATTATTCTTTGGGATCGCTCAAAACCATAGGACAAATTAAATGCGAATTCTTGATAGTCATTTAAGCGGGAATTTTCTTTATCAAAAGACTCATTTGCCCATGTTAAACATTTTTTTGAAAAATCAAAAGTAAAACAAAAAAATAATTTTTTATTTAAGGTAAGATTAATTTGGATAAATTGGCCCATTGGCCAAAAAAATCTTGTGCCCATAAAATATGGAACGATTTTTTGAAAATTTAAGAGTGTGGCCGGTTCACATTGATATACAAAGAATTTATTATTACTATGTAAGGAGTTTATTATTGATATACAAGGAATTTATCATTAAAATTTTAAAAATTTACAAGGAGTTTATCATTTATATATAATAGTATATCATTGACAAATATAATAAATTAGCCATAGTGAAAAATATAATAAATATTAGGCTGTTTGTTTAATTTGGTTCGATAACATGGGTTATATCTACAAAAAGCCTAATTAATTTTTAATTTCTAATTTTTTTAGCCATAACATAAATTTTAACCTTGTAAATGTCAAGGACATGCTTCAATTAAATTATTTTTAATAATGTCTCATGTTTGATTAAAATTGTTCGTTTTATTTAACTTTATAATCTAATTAATGACAATTCAAACTCGTTGCTTAGACAAACAATTTTCTTTATAATATATAATTATTAAGAAATATTGTGATGTGTTAATTTCGAATTCTCTAACCTATGATATGTAGATTTTCTCACAAGTTGGGATTTGGGAAGACGAGGGGTGGGGTGGGGGGTAGAAACATAGAGAGAACATTAAACCCCATGTCAATTTTTGACCCAAAAGAGACCCATGTCAATTCTTATTTTTATGTTGTTGTCTCCATAATATACTATACATATATTTCCATAAGTTATGAAACAAAATTTAAATGACCCAAACTCTTAATTGCATATGCCCAGCAACTCTAAGTAATATTAATAGAAAGCTGAAAAAACCGAAGAAGTCATAAATATAGTGACCCATCGTTGAAGCTAATAATATCTCGGTATTGACTTCAAAAACCTTCACTGAATTTTAAATTTAAATTTTGCTTCCAGGGACAATACCTATGGAAATAGGCAATCTTCATGAACTTAAGATATTACAACTGGCACAGAACAATTTGAGCGGATCTATTCCATCAAAAATTTTTAACATGTCAGCTTTGAATATCTTGTCCATATCAAACAATTCTATATCTGGTAGACTTCCAGAAGATTTTGGATGTGGTCTTTCTAATCTAGACGAGATATATTTATGGGGCAACAAACTTTCTGGAAGAATCCCGAATACTATATCCAATGCTTCTAAGCTAACCAGAATAGAATTGCAGAAAAACAAATTCACGGGAGTTTTACCAAGCACACTTGGTCATTTAAGATACTTAAAAATCCTTGTAGTATATCACAACAATTTGACCACCGCAGATGCTTCCAATTCTAAGACTAAGACTAGCTTTCTTAGCTCATTGTCAAATTGTAGACAATTGGAAGTCTTGGATCTCTCAATAAATCCATTGTATATAAAACTTCCCAAATCCATTGGAAACTTGTCAAGTTCTTTACAAAGGTTGATCTTACATTATTCTGGTATTCATGGAAACATTCCATCAGAAATAGGGAATCTCACTAATTTGGTGGTAATATCTTTGGATGGAAATGTTTTGAATGGAACAATTCCAAAAACAATTGGTAGCTTACAAGCTCTTCAGTATTTGAGTATTGAATTCAATGAGCTAGTTGGTTTGATCATTGCTGAGCTTTGTCAAATCAAGCAACTTGCCTATTTGCAGCTAAGTGGAAATAAGTTTTTTGGAACAATGCCACATTGCTTAGGAGATCTTACCTCTTTACGATACCTTCATTTAGGCTCCAATAAGTTGAGTTCAATGATACCTTCACCTCTTTGGAATTTAAAAGATATATTGGAAGTCAACTTATCTTCTAATAATTTTGTTGGAAATCTTTCATACAAGATTGGGAATTTAAAAGCTCTCGTGTCATTGGATTTGTCAAGAAATCAAATTTCAGGCATCATTCCAACAACCATGGGTAATTTGCAAAATTTGAAAATTCTCTCCTTAGCTATTAATGAACTGCAAGGGCATATTCCTGAATCATTTGGGAATTTGCTAAGCTTAGAAAGTTTGAACCTCTCTCAAAATTATTTGTCTGGCGAGATCCCTAAATCTCTAGAATCACTTACATATCTTGAGTTTGTCAATCTTTCCTACAACAAACTACAAGGAGAAATTCCAAGTGGAGGAGTTTTCACAAATTTAACTGCTCAATCTCTCATGATGAATGAAGGTCTTTGTGGCCAACCACAATTAGAAGTTCCTCCATGCAAAAAAGGAAGAAAAAAGTCAATGGCAAGGTTGATTTTTTTGAAATGCATATTACCTGTGGTTGTGTCAACAATAATTGTTGTATTAGCCATTACCCTTTTACAACATAAACGACAAAACACAAGGGATGCAATTGAAAGGGATTTATCAACTTTTGGAGTACCAAGAAGGATTTCTTATTTTGAAATCTTGGAAGCAACCAATAGATTTGATGATTGCAACTTACTAGGAAAGGGCGGTTATGGTTCTGTGTACAAAGGAAGGCTGTCAAGTGGGATGATGGTCGCAATTAAAATCTTCAATTCTAATTTAGAACAAATGTTAAGGAGCTTTGAAGTAGAATGTGACATCATGCGTAATTTGCGCCATCGTAACTTAGTCAAGATCATTAGCAGTTGTTGTAATATTAATTTCAGGTCTTTGATTATGGAGTTCATGCCCAATGGGAGTCTTGAAAAATGGTTACATTCTCATACAAATTGTTTAGATTTTCTACAAAGATTGAATATTATGATAAATGTAGCGCATGCTTTGGAGTACCTCCATCATGGCTTGTCAACTCCAGTGGTTCATTGTGATTTAAAGCCAAGTAACATCTTATTGAATGATGATATGGTTGCACATGTAAGTGATTTTGGAATTTCCAAACTTTTAGCTGAAGGGCAATCTATGACATATACAAAGACAATACCTACAATTGGCTATATAGCGCCTGGTAATTATTTTAATTATTCCATGTTATTTTTCTTTGGTATTTATATTCTAACAGTAGTTACATCCACAAATTTCCTGCACATTAATTTAGGAAAAAGGATTAGCAATGTATTTTTTCCAAATAAATTACTTTGGATACTTTTCCTTCAAATTTTTTCTAAAGGAATTTCTTCTATTAAAATAGGCATCTAAAGAGATTTCATGTTTTAGGTATTTTGCAATCATTGGGCCTTGTTAGTTTAATTTACTCATATATATGTATGTGAAATACTTTAACTAATCCTAGAGCATTAAGATGAAGATACATTTAGTAGTTTATAAATATGTTCCATATATAAAATTATCCTTTCAGTTAAAAATATTTTCTATCATTTTTGTGACATATAAAAATATACATTTCAAGAACTATTTGATTGTAAATTTAAACACATGATACATATTAAAAAGGAAAAAGAAAGCCTAAATATTACAAGGGAATCTGTTGTTCGATTAAATTTACTTTAATTGTATACGTTTTTTGGTCCAAATGAAAGAGTAATCTTTTTTAATTCTAGTTTATTGTTTTTATTATGAGTGAGACTTTTGATTGTTTGAATTTAATTATATATGCAGAATATGGATATGGAGGAATTGTTTCAACTAAAGTAGATGTGTATAGTTATGGAATTATATTATTAGAAGTCTTCACAAGAAAAAGGCCAACAGATGATATGTTTGCGCCAGGATTGAACTTGAAGAGTTGGGTAAGTGAGTTAATGTCACATGCAATAGTTCAACTCATGGATTCCAATCTAATAGAAGGAGATGAATGGCATATTGAAAACATTATGACATCTGCTTCCTCAATTTTTGAATTGGCCTTGAAGTGTTGCAATGATTCTCCAGAAACACGTAGCAATATGATAGATGTAGCAACATCTTTAAACAAGGTCAAGGTCAAGTATATGCAAAGGCAGAAAATCATACAAAAATAAGCATGTTTGATTTGTTGCATTACCTAGTTATTAATGACTAGTTATTGAATTGTTTCCAAACATTGAAGATAAAGTATTAGTGTGATTTGTTAGTCTTTGATGTTGGAATATTTTTTTTATCTATATAGTGTGGAATAAGATTTGTTGTTGTTGTACTATTGTAGAGTTGTATTAATTAGTTATTGAGCTCCAAATAGATTGATCCTTTATGACTTCATATGAATTGTGATAGGTGAATCACACAAGTAAGTTTATTTGGGCAAAGGTCCAACCTACAATCCTTTACAAGTTAGTTTTCTCCCTATAACAAAGCTAAGTCAAAGAGTGTATATAAAAGAATTAATTGATTAGTTAATAATTAATTAATAATATATAAAATTTTGAGTAATTACTGACTTAGTCATCATGCATTATAAGAGATCATAAGCCATATTAGTAACATATAGATACTGGTTTATACTTTCTCTGCTTTTGTAAAGTTAAAGGAGTATAGTAGGTTACGAATTTGCCTACCTTTGAGATGGTTGAGATTATCCAACAATTTATAAAATCATATCTAAGGATGTGAATTCTTCAGCTACGCACTATCAACTCATTATTATATCTTTGTGTAATTATTTTGGCTAATTAATGAGATATTTTATTCCTATCAAAAATCAAAATTCCCTTTAAATGAGTTGATTGTTGCAAGTTCATGTAAAAAAAATGGGACAATTTATTAACCCAGTGTAAGAATTGATTTTACTTCAACTTTGCCAAATTAATTAAATTCTTATTAGAATTGAGTGCTGATCGACAAATTGCCAAATAAAGAAATGAATTTTGTGCAGTTTCGAAACCCTCTTCGATTCGTTATTTCTGGTGTTAAATTCTACAATTTCTTTTCATTTTTCATTCATGAGAATTAATGATTTCTAATTATATGTATCTGGGTGTTTTCCATTTGCACGATTTAGATCTTGTTTAGTTTACCATGTCTTAATATAATTTTCATTGAGTCAAAGTAGGTTGTAGTATGACGTTTTAGATGAAAATTTTGAGATTTTAGTTTCATGATTCATTCGTTAAACGAACTAAACAACCGTAGAGAACAATTCCTGATGCTTTTCCAGTCATCGCAATGTGTTTCTGGCTGGAAACCACCGCTCGGAACATTGGGAACCACAGGAACATGCGTTTTGGTTTCTCACATGTATTTTGCTATTGAAGACAATCCTATTTAAACTCTAACTCCCGCTAATCAAATAGTTCTACTTAAATGGAACGACTCATTTCACTGTAGATCAAAAGTTTCAGTCGAGCGAATTTTTTGGATGTCTCACATCTATCCTTGTTTTAAATAAAAAAAGGGAAAATTAATCTTAACCCTTATAATTTTAACTTGTTTTAAATCTGATTCCTCAAATATAACTTGATGCAATGCAATCTTTTAAATAAAAATATTTTTTTGATTGCTCATATTCTATTTGATTATTCCAAGCTGAGGATTTACATCTTGGTTTGTTATGATATGTCAGATTAGCATCATTTATTAGGCCCAATTCCCAATAATACTTCATAGGGATATAGGTAAGCGCAAAATGTTTATTTTAATTTGCAACGGTGTATGACATGGTATCTGAATTTTAAGGGCCCACAACTTTGTTTCTTAGTGTATGGGGCTCTCAAGCTTTGGTCCAAGCTCCAGTTATTAGGACTTCAGTACCTTGTAATGGATTCTTTTGAGTCTGAAGCTTGAAATGAGCTTTAGCATGTGGGAACATGCTTTCTTGGGCTTTTCCTTGAAGACTCCAAGCACATCACTTTGCTCTTTAACTGGACCAAGCTCCACGTGTACTCTATCAAATTGTACGGTTGTTTTGAGAAGAAAAATATTATTCCAGTCCTTAATATAAGATAAAGTTAATAAATTTGATGCTTATCAAGAAATATTAGTTATAATCTTGAAATTTTAAAAAAATCTATAAATATTGAATTTTACCCTTTTTTATAATTATTGACCACAATAAATTGTTATTGAGGAATTCAAATGACAATAAACAAACAAGGGTAAAATTAAGAAAAATCAAATGTTCTAACTTTATCTTATATTTAGGACAAGAAAAAAAAAATCTTTCAAACTTCATTTTAGTATAAATTGATCCCCAAAAAAAATAATTTCGACCTGATCCCCAAAAAAAATAATTTCGACCATATATATATTTATATATAGATTAAGCTAGTAAGCATTTAAAAAAAAAACAGAGAGAGAATAAAAGGGAAAAGGGGTGAGCGATAAATGTATCAAAATCATATGGTGGGGCACTGAATGTTATATGAAATAGCACAAAACTACAAATTGCAAACTAAGAATCTTGTTTAACATTAATGTACACGAACTTTTTTTTTCTTTTTTGCCTGAAAACGAGCCAAGAAGACTTTGTGATTTGTATGTAGAGCTATATTAGAAGCTAGGAATGGCTCCAACACATTTTAATGAATAAAAATAATCGGCATCAGTATTGGGGATTTTATTTATTGTGTGATGTAATATAATCTTAATTTGTATCATTTTTATATAAATTATAAATATAAATTTGTTACCTCTTTTAAACTTTGACAAGAGATTGTTAATTCGTATGGCCTTTTTTTTTCAGATAAATTTTTGCTCAAATCATTTTAACTCTCATTTAATTTTACGGAGTAATCATCTTTTAGTGCACTAATAGGTATTACTTTTTTTTTAAAAAAAAAAGGCAAAACAGAAGCCAATGTTATTAACGACAGAAAAATATTACTCACTAATAGACTAGGAAAGCAATAATAGCCTAAAATACAACCTACAAACAAAAGAACAAAGCAACAACAGCAAAGGAAAAGACAAACAGTCAACGAAACAAAATCATCCTATGCCGGATCTATTGCCTAAAGAAGAATTCAAATTACATCAGTCCTCTAGCAGTACAGTCAACAGAGAGGATGGTGGCTTAACAAGCCATCCATTAGGAACCATACCCCTCATAGAAAGAGCTGCTAAATAGTCCGCAGCTTTGTTTCCCGTTCGAGCAACCAAGCACAAAGAAACCTCACTGTAGGACCTCCACAACTGAAAACAATTCTGCAAAATGTCTACACAACCCCATTCACAACCATTCAAATCAAAAGAATTCAATCTTCGAAATAAATCCAAACAATCAGTTTCAAAAATCAAATCCTTTCCTCCAAAACCACCACAAACCTCCAAAGCCTTGTGTAAACCAACACACTCAGCCATAAAAGGGGAATTAGCAGCAACTTGACAGCACATGCCACCAACAAAAATGACCCTCCTCATTCCTACCAACTATACCAACAGCAGCTTTCATACTTTTCGGACAAAAAGCAGCATCCACATTAACTTTGATCTTGCCCAAATTTGGAGGAATCCACCTGTCAGCCCTCTCTGGCTTATTAACAGACACAATGCCATCTTACTACGCACATCAACCTTCTAGAATTCATTAGCAGGTCTAATAGCACAGGATAGGCAGTCCATAGCATCCACATGCTCATGCTCAAACATAAACTTACATCTGGCTTTCCAAATCTCCAAACATATACTAGCAAATAGAGCTACATCATAATTCTCCACCCCTTCCTTGCTAATCAACCACTCCTCCAGCCATTTATCGAACCTTCTCACACCCACTTCATCAAATTTCAAACCCAAAAGTGAACCAAACCAACACCCTCTAACCCAAGGACAAAGAAAAAGCACGTGCTCCACAGTTTCAGCCAGAGACTTACAAATTTCACAACCAGGTCTACTTGCACGCTTTCTCTTATATAATGCTTCCTTGGTAGCAAGCTCATTATTAACAGCACACCAAATAAAATGATTCGCCTTTGGTGGCATCTTGATCTTCCAAATTCCCTTCCATAACAGATTAGAAGCTGAAATGGATCCACCTGCAACGTCCTTTTCCACTTTCATCAATCTTGCACAAGCCACTCGATACCCCTTCTTCACAAAATATATCCCATCTTTACTACCAAACCATCACATTTATCTTCACCACGGATAGTAGGAATCCTGACGCTCCTTATCATATCCTTGTCTTCATCAGACAAAACCCCATTAATGGCCTCAAAATTCCATTGCCCATCTCTCAGAATGTCACACACCTTCAGCTTCTTCCAATCCTAGCACAAATCCCTGTGCCTCAAGGAGCAACTAACAATAGATGGAATCCATCTATCCTCAAACAAGCTGACCCTTTCACCATTAAAAATCTGCCAGCACAAATCCTTTTCCAACAACTTCCTCCCTTCCAAGATACGCGATCATCCCTAAGAAGCTTTCCCCCCTTTTTTTGCCTTTAAAAACTAACAGTTAGGGAAGTACAACCCCTTCAAAATCCTACTCCACTGTTTATCAGGATGTTGTAGAAGTCTCCATGTAGTCTTGGCCAAGAGAGCTTTATTAAACAATTCAAAACCCTGAAACTCCATTCCTCCATCATTCTTAGCTTTACTCATCAATTTCCAGGCTTTCCAATAATGGATTCTTCCTTCATGCTCTTTCTGCCCCCACCAGAAGTTAGAAACCATGCTGTCAAGTTCATTACACACTTTCTTTGGAAAGCTAAAACAAGACATTGGGAAAACAGGGATAGCATTAGCCACTGCTTTAACCATTACTTCTCTTCCAGCAAAGGTCAACAATCTTTGCTTCCAACCTTGCATCTTAGCAACCATTTTATTCTTCACAAAACCCAGTGCCTCAGATTTTACCTCCTCCACAGTATTAGCAAACACAAATACTTCCCGGGATTCTCACTTGCATTTATATTCAAGTCGTCAAGCACTTCCAACTTAATATCATCCGATGTATTTTTAGAAAAAAAATACACAAGACTCATCAAATTTAATAGCTTGCGCTGAAGCTCTGCAATATATATGCAGAATTTTCTTCAAGACTCTACAATTCTGCCTCTTAGCATTTACAAAGAATAAAGCATCGTCTACGAAAAAGCAATGCGAGAGGACAGGACACTTACTTAACATCTTAATTGTGATAGCCTTAAATAATATATATATATATATATATACACACTTATTGAATTAATTATATGAATATATTTTAGTTATGTTTGGGATGATAACAATAAGGAGTGTTGATAGGATGGAAATATGT